ATGCTTATTATCTCTTTCCCTTTAAATTTTAAGATAATCACTTCAGTTGATTTCAAGATCACAATCTTTTTATGGAATTTAGTTTTGTCATGTATGTGAATAGAGAAAGTACTTTATTTATGGAGTGCATTTCTGAAGCATGATGCTTTCAAGTCTGTGTCTGTGACCTCTCGAGTTTTTTATCCAAGATTTTTTGCTGAAAGCAGGAGCATGCTGTGTTAGGACTCTACAAAGATGCTAGCAGTGAGACCAAAATACATATTTTTACATCTTATTTTTCCAACACACTTACTATATCAGACATCTACTTCTGCCCAACGGATTTGATGTCTCTCTCAAGATGAAACATTGACGTTTGTTCATCAGGATAAATGTTTGTTGCTGTGCTAGAGATCTTTATATTTGACAAGGCACACAGGAGAACGATGAGCATTTTATGTTCCGGGGCCAGTATCACAGTTGGGTATATCTCAGCTCTGATTGAACCAGATGGTACTTCCCTATGTCTCTTCGACATTTCACCCATTTTTTTGTCTGTTTACGTATGTCCTTGGCAGACTTCTTAGCAGGACAAGGATAGAACTGATAAGAGTTCAAGAAACAAAAATAAAGAATGTTGCCTATTATCAAAGAGAATGAAGCGTTTAATTGCACAGCATTCTGTGAAATAAGAATTCTTTACCCCTCCCGTGGAGGTTAACAACAAAGAGCATCTTGTGAAAAGAGAGGGCACTGAAGGGACTGACATACTGTTTGTTTTCAAGAGCAAGCTACATTTGATATTACAAGAAAAGATATTAACATTGCAACAGTGCAAAAAAGACAAAGTACGAATATGCTTGTCTTGTCTTGTGACCCAACACACTGGAAAGTGTCTCATTTCAGTATCTCTCTAGTTTTGCTTTCATCATTGTAACGCATGAGAGGTGAGCTGAGTTATCTGGTATTTCCCAGTCTCAAAGTATTGTCATTATTCACATTTAGAGCATGTTTGTTTTTAAATAATTTGCTTGACAGAGAGCACATGCATACTAGTTTGTGAGTCCCCAATTACTTAATTATTAGTAATTTGGAGCCTGAAAATGTTGCTTTTAGTGACAGTGAATGATATACATAACTTCCATAAAATACTAAGGTGAAATGTTTTCAGTGTGCTGTATTTGATTTAGAGCTGTTCATTCCCACTCACAATCATAACAGGATGTAGAGTATCCAGTACCTGTGCCGGGATCTAAACTGTGTTGGTTTTGCGCTTGTGTGCATTTATGTCTGTATTTAAGTTGTTGTTGAAAGTATTTGCACAGTGGCTTTCTGAGAATACGCCTTACTGTTTATTTTGTGGCAAGTGCTTCTTTATTGAGGATTTAGTATGTGATGACTGTGCGTGTGTGCGCGTGTGTGTGTGCGTGTGTGTGCTTCCTGGACATAGGTCCCATGGTGGTAAGAAGAATGTCCTGTTTGGAACTGGAGCAGCTCAATAAACACTGTTGTTTACTTTATAATCCATCTGAAACCTTAGCTAGGATTAAGGTTTCTGCAAAGTCACATCACTTATGTACCCCCATTCATGATTATAACACTTATGCAATGTATATTTTCTCATCTGTGCTGTGAAAGTGTATCACCTTGTTTTCTACTGTTCTCCACTGAAATTGTTTTAGTCTTATTTCTCTGAGGTTGTTTACAGGGTCACTGTGATCTTTTGTGGCAGCAATTTGTGGAGCTATTTGCTTAAACCTATTGGACAGATTGGGTCTGGGTAACATCTGCCTCACTGCTACATGCAGCAGACCTCTCAGAAGAAGATTATCCTCTTCTTTTCCTGCGTATGGCGTACTGTCACTTCTGTTTTCTGTATACTGGAGTGTGCTTCCACAACGCAGGCTGTAGGAGTTCCCCCACCCTAGCGATAGCGTTTAGGTTTCAGGACTCATAGATTGCACCACTAGCTTTTTTCTCAATCTGATTTTGAAAAATGTTGAGTATTTATTGTTTCAGAAGAGACTAATTTAAGAACAACTCTCAGTTTAAATCGATTATTAATCAAACAGGCATTTGTAGACACAGACATTCTTTTATTTTAGCCCTTATGGGTTCATTGTGCAGTACTTCAGGCACTGTCTGCTGTAACCAGTATAGTGCTGTTTGTCTCACATTACCATTTTGCTGACATTGTGTCTCTTCTATTCTTACACCATGTTTTCACTTTATTTGTACTTACATCAGGTTCATAAACTCAGCAAGGTAAGAAATAGTAAGGACTGTGGTCACAGCTTGACAAAAGTAAACATTGAAGGTGTGAAAAAGACTGAGCACCGAGCACTGCGACACAACACAGTTTAGTGATACACAGAAAGGGGGGACAACTATTTAGAGCTACATTCAGCATCATTTGCTAATAGAGAGTCAGAAGTTGAAAGCTTTAAATTCTGATTAATTGGTATTTGTTTGTATTGACACGAGAACCTACGATTTAGTTCACCTTTTTCTTTTAATCTGTGAAGTATGGAATGAAAATTACTTATTTAACAGTAATACTTAGTTACCCCATTATTAGTTTACTTGAACAAATGATTACAATGCTTTGTGCTTATGAAACGCTAGTAAGATTGTTGTCACTCAGATTTGTCAGGTTTTAACTACGATTAAGGATTTCCCTTCAGCCCTTTGGTCTGGCACTGCATAAATGGAGTATTCCTGACGGTACTAAGGAATGGCACTTAGGAAATAATTTTAGAAGTGAAGCTCCGACAAAGTCATCCGAATTTCTGCCAGAGCAAAGGCTAGGCCTTTCTGTTTCACTTAACTTTTTTGAGTTTGATAGCACGTCATTTGTGTATATTTGAGTCAATCTGAAAATAGTGTATTACGGAACCAGAGTTTGTATTTTTGAGGATCAGAGATTTACTCATTCCTATGAATGTATCGTTCATGGAGCAGTTTAGGATATTATATAATGGAAGATAGTAGAATTAAAGCAGGTATTACATAATGAATGCTGAATTCCAAAGAGTTAACTTGCCTGTCAGAACATGTGGTGAAGGGTTGAGTCTTCTCAGATGAATCACAATTGTTAAAACTTGTACTACAAGATTGTCAACAATCAGGAGCAAGTTTACTTTTTTCACATAGTTCTGTGACAGCTCTCCATTTATATATCAGTTCACAGACAAAGATTTAAAGAGTCCTTAGAAAGAATCAGTTAAATTATACTGGTTGGTCACTAAATGTTTTTAGGACTGTCGCTTGAAATTGTCATTGACGTAAACACTTTCTTCAAACATTATTTCAGTTTCATTTTCTATGTTCAACTGGCTGCCATTTGCTGCCTTTGTTCTCACTGAGAACTTTATTTATTTTTGCCCTTGACAACCCTTTTGCAGAATAAAAGCAAAAAGCCCTCAAAATATCTTATAAATAATGGACTTGAATAATGTTTGTTTAACTTGCACTAGACTGATTAGAGTGGGGAGGCTGTGATAAGAGCAACAAACCCCTGAAAGAGTTAAGACATGATGATGGAATAAGTCCAGTAGAAGACTCATGTTAAGGCCCCAATTTTGGAGATCAAAGTTTCAGAACAGAAGTTAGAGGAGAATAGATGCAAAATCTGCAGGAGGAGGTATTTTAATTTTAATTTGGGATTAGTTACACTTATAATTATGCCCTAGATTGGTTTTACTTTGACATAATGCTAAATTATTAAAGAAATGTTGACATGTTCTGCTCCGTTTTCTGGAAAGGATTTCACAAAATGTTACAAAAACATATCAATTGATGGTTTAGTTATGTGCAAAATAGTTTAAACCAACATCAGACATCATTCAAGCTGATTCCCTAAATCAACACATCAACATAGTGAGAATTCCAGTTGTTTTCAATGACACAGCTGCCACTAAGGGGGCTGCTGTAACATGACTGGGAGCCTTTTGTGCATCTTTAAACAAATATATGTTGTCATCTTAGCTGTATCCTCTCACTTAACAGTGTCTCAATGCAGTTAAACTTGTAATGATTCCAGGCTGCCACTGAGTTGACCTATATTATTGTGTCTGTGAAGATTCTCAGCCATCCAGGTCATGGTCAAACTTGGAAAGTTCAGATAGGCAACTGGACGTGAATTTTTCACGTCCTGTTGTCTCACTGAACTTTTCAAGCCACATCATTGTGGACCAGGGCATAACTTTGTTATAATAACACTTGGATCTGGGTCTAACATCTTCTGGCATTGGTCCAAGTAGCAGTTCATAATGTTAAATGTTGGCCTCCACTGTTGAATAGGTCCTGGGAATATTCTGAAATTCTTTTCTACTTCAAGTTCTTGTATTACTCTTAGTTGGTTGGGAAACAGTGTTGGAAGAAAAATTAAAGGATACATTTTATGCTGTATGCAGGCACCAGCATATCCATATATACCAGCATATCCATATATAAAATTTCAGACTCATGTAAGGTAGTGCACATACTGTATGACGAGATGGTAAAATTTGAATTAAAATGTTTTTCAAAGTTACAGTATTGTGCGAATGAAAATGTTGATGATGTTAAAATGGAATCATGTTTGCAGTTAGTTGTATAATCTATACACACACCATTTTGATAACACTGCTAGTTTGTCACCATATGAGTCAGATTTACATGTGAAATATTTTGGATAGTGTTGATATTTGTCACAGTGATAAGCCACAGGATTCTCTACGGATCCTCCAAATCATCCCACCAGCTTACCAGAATTTGACTCAGCTTCCCAGAGAATTCAGTGAAAGGCTGAATGATGAATACATATATAAAAATAAATACAAATTGGTATGAGCGGGGACACATTTTTGACAGCCCTCAGATGTAAGCACTCAAGTATTTGCAGAAGTCAAAACAATTTAACTTAAAAGCCAGGGTTTATTTCTTTTCCCTCAATGTGGCAGCATGTGAAGAGGTCAGTCTCTGACCCACATAATAAATGATGACAGGCTAACAGGCTAACTGGTGTGTTTGTGTTTCAGGGGAGCTTTCTCTGAGGTGCACTTGGCTGAGGAAAAGAGGACCCACAAACTGGTAGCTATCAAGTGTATCCCCAAGAAGGCATTAGAAGGCAAGGAAAACAGCATTGAGAATGAGATTGCAGTCCTGCACAAGTAAGTGGACAAAACATTCATATTGTTAGTACTGCACTTTAAAGACTGTCTGAGTTGTTACTTCAGCACATGTGAACACTAATTACAAGGATCAAGATGGTAAAGTTTTAATTGGTGTTCCCACATTGTTGAAAGTTGCATAACATCATGAGATAACCGAAACAGTAAATCATATGTGATGTGTAGTGTTGTGATACACATCCTATGGGGTTTAATATTAACCAGCATTAAAAAAACTGTCACTGTGGGATCGGATAAAAGAGAGCACCTTACTTTTCTGTCATTCTGACACTTCAACAGCAAAGACACATACCTTTCCTAATAAGGTAGTGAGAAAAACAGTTCACCCAAATAACCAAAATAGAAAACATCTTTAGATGATACAAAAATATAAAAGTAGATATTCTTTGTGCAAATCAAGAGAATGGGAACTGACAGGTAAAAAAAAAATCCACTGCTGTTTCTGTCAGCTCCAATTCAAAAACCTCACTAACCGCACTATGACTAGGTTTCTTTGGAAATGCAATCTATTGAAGAGCTATTTGAAGACTGTTGAATAACTAAGCTGTGGAGCGCTGTGTCTGTGTAACCTTACAGCAAGAGGGGTCCCGGTTTGAATCCTCAGGGTACCGGGGGCCATCTGTGTGGAGTTTGCGTGTTTTCCCCATTTTTGTGTTGGTACAGTACAGTACAGTACAAAAACATGCATGTTAGGTAACTTAAGATAAACGGAATAGATAATGGATGAATCTGTTTAGGAGCTTTCTTTTTGTTTGCTATCAGTGCAGCGAGCTAAAATGAACAATTCCAGCAACCACATTTGTATGTAGTTGAGACTTTTGGTCATTGAGATAGTGTGATATCAAGAATTTTTCTGTAAAGCATCAGCAAACAGAACATAAACTGAAAGAGCATGATATTGCACAGCACATATACTGTAGTAGCTCTGCTGTGGCTTTTCCTGTCTTAAAAAGCAACAGGTTTATGCCGAGGTGAAATGACACCTGCAGAACTGGCTGCACACATTTCCTTCTCACCCAATTTGCTCACAAATTATCTTTTTACCTGAGAGTGAGAGAGGTGTGTTTTTCTCTATTTTCTGACAGTAGGCCAAGGCAGAGAAAGTGACAAGTGCGTTTGCTATTTTGGAGTGTTTCAAATGTACCCATCCTTAGATGTGGGGAATTGCAGGTCACATTGAAAATGGCTGATCTACATTGGTCCAAAGTTATTTTTAGAGCCCTTGTTGCCTGGGTTACAGGAGACACACAGTATACAGCTATGGTTCCTCCTGAGGTGAGGACAGTGGAATGAAAGTGGTGGCGTTTAGTTAGCTGTTCAGTTGCAGTTGTGACAAATTACATAAACGGAGGTAAACTTGGCTGGAGAATCTTAGCTGGCCCTGTATGGAGTTTGTATAGGCTCATGCAAAGCTTTCATTACTCATTTTAACACACCACATTTTGCCTACCTTCACTACACAGAGCAGGTGGCTAAGTCTAAGCAAAACGTTTCTGGAATATAATCTCATCCATCTCATTTAGAAAAACCTGCTACCATTGCACCTCCGGATGGCTGAGAAACAGGACGAGCTGGTGGTTGCCATGGGGCGGGCACACAATTCAAATAAACCGATTCAGCTTAAGGCTTATGGCTGTGGTCATAAAAATGCCAATAGACATTATGCAACCATCCAGTTTTAATTACCAGACCTTACAAAGAAAAGATAATGTATTTTTTCTAGTGTTTGACTGATTTTCACATTACTGGGAGTGGCTTATTCCCCAAAAAGTTACATTTCAAAGTCAGATAGCTAGAAGAATCTCGCCTGCAACGACGTTAAAAAGCCTCATTGTTGTCCCATAAATGTAGAGCTGCATTGTTAAATGTTTAGTTGCACTCTCAGCTTGTTTGTAATTGAATATGAATACAACTATCCAGCTTCTATTTGTCCAGGCATGTCGTACTGTGAGCACATTCCAGCGTACAATACTCTTCTGGGGTCTGTGTGATGTCACTGTCATGCTTTAAGGGTATTTGGCTGATACATATTATTGTAACCATGTGGACTTGCCAGCTAACTTAATTTATGGAATGCATGCATGGAAAAAAAACAAAGCAGAAAAATCATCATCAACTGTTACCCGTCTCACAATGGCATTTAATATAAATAGTAGGGGATGCAATTCATGTCTCTTTTTTTGCCCCTTACTAAATATTACAGAGGATTGTCATTAAATAACTGGCTGGACTGCAAATGCGTAAGGTGCAAAAATTCTTTATATAAAATGATCATTCGGGTACATATTGAACATCACATTTGTTAATTGGTCTTCTTGAATCAATTAGATAAGTGGGGTTTAATCTTGCTGTCATCTTTTTCCCTGCACAAAAGATGTATTTAACTACAAAACGTGACACGACACTGAAGATTTACAAAGAAGTAAACTCTCTCTCTCTTGTTTTGACCTCAGAACACAGCTGTCACACAAAAATGTTGTTCTCTAATGAACGTTCTGGCACTATTTTATATTGCCCTCTTTCACCTCCTAGTCCGGTCGGGGCCACAGCTGTCAGCCTGTCTCTGCTTTAATGAGTTTTGTTATGTTTCTCACAGCAAATTTATTACAGTCTATTTAAAGCATGTAACTCTAATAAAACACTTCAAACATTGTTTTGCTTTTGGTGATAAAATTGACATGAGTTATATAAATGATATAACAGTGTGTAGAGACAGATGATCTTCTAGCAGTACACCCAAAAAACACTGAACTGTTTTGTTTTCTCCTTTTAATTACAGTTTGTAAGATGGGTGCCCAGCTTAGTGGGAGTTTAATGAACTCCTGTTACATCATCAGAGTGGTTGACTTGATGGTTTGTCGACACCAAACATTTACTCAAGCAAAGACATTGGAAAATACAGTGACTAAAGAAACTTTTTATCCACAGTAGTACCAGCCGAGCAAATTTTTAAGGGTCTTACTTACCTTTGTTTATTACAGTGTCTGAACATCATGCCTAAAACACCTCGGCCGAAACATTTTAAGTGGATTCATCTCCCAGATAATGAGTGTTTCAGACCACAAGGCCATATCTGACACCTTTGGTACATAGAGCATGCACAAGATGATGCATACAGCGAGTCATGTGATTGGGTATTCTGCTCCATGTCAAACAGGAGACTCTGTTTCCCCGACTTGTTTTTATAGGGCTGTTATTCTAGATATGCCTAGAAGAATATGAGGCTCCAGTGGAGTGTGTATGACCGAAATGTTGCCAATAGGTGGTGTGTATGCAGCTCGCTGTGGGTGACTTTGTACCTGACAGTATGTTCTGACTGCACAGACTTTTCCGCGGGCTTTTTTTTTATCGTGCGCTTACATAGAACACCTCCTGCCGTAGATGCCTGTCTGCAAAGACAGGGTTATCCATGCAGAAACTACAAAATGAGTACGTTCATTTCCACAGGGCAGGCCAAAGCGGCCTGCTTTCATGTACACGCTCAGTATAACTGAACTATTAGGTAAACACACGTGAGACGCAGGAACTGAATTAGTCCAGATTTTTTTTTAAATGCTAACTTAGGGTGCAAAACAATGTTCTGTCCATGTGCATACACAAAGGAAATTTAAATCCTCACAATAGCTCATTACCGAATTGCAAATTTAAAATTATTATATTAGATAACCAAAGAGTGCGTTTTATGTCCTAAATAGGAATTGTCTCTTTGACTGCAGTAAAACAGCGAGGGTTCTTCTGAAAGAAAAAAAAACATCTACATTTTTCTGAAATATAAGTTCAAAATAAAAAGTGAAAAGTTAAAACAGGCTCTGATATTCATCTTTAGCCTACAGCCACTTTAGGTTCTTTACTGCAAAACAAGAAATTGCCTGTACGGAAATTCTGCTGACATAACATATGGAAATGCATGTTAGAGCCTGTGTGGGAATATACATGCGTGTTCACTCTGTGGTTCTAATCCATCTATCATCCTTTCTAGGATATGTCTTTCCCTCAACACAGAGCTAAGCAGATGAATGAAGGTGGCCATGCATTGTTACAATCTGGATAAGAGTTATTGCTGTAATCCAGCATGAGCTCAAGCTGACCCATACACAGTGCCTCTGGTACATCTCAGTCACGTGACTTTGTGTTGTTTTTATCCTGATACCTTCAGCAGAGTTCCCTCCAACTCACGTGCCCAGAAAAAGCCTTGAGACAAATACTTCACACAGACAGTGTGTAAGATGGAGTTAAAAGATTTGATATAAAAAGTTTGAAAGTCACATTTTGGCGCTGTTCATTTTTGACTGCTGTCAACACCGAGCAATGCTTGTGTGTATGTATGATCTTATATGTTATCCTGTGCTTGATTTGTTAATTCAGTATCATTTGATTCGTTCTTTTACAAATGTTGACCCATTTAGATAAAAACACTGCTTAAAAAAAGCACAATTCTGGCGTGTCGATTTAAAAGATGTTTATCCGGAGACAGGCATCAGAAACAATACACAATAGTTAGAAAATTGTCTTTGATCTGATGAGTCATTTCCGATGGTTGTCATGGCCTGACAGGTCTCAAGGGACTTGCAGTTCCATCAGTTAGGAACGTGGCTGCCTCTGCAGCGTCCCCTGATCTACATCCAGGAAGATAAAAAGCATTACTGATAGGATATAAAAGAAAAGGAATATATTATGATATTTGGCTAACAGGAAAACAAAACTGATACGTTTTAATATTTAAATGAAAAATGTAAAAAAATAAATAAACCTGAAGACCAAATAAACCTCTTTTCTTCTTGTTTTTACCTCCCTTTTCACAGGATTAAACACCCCAACATTGTGTCTTTGGAGGAGATATTTGAAAGTAAATCACACCTCTACCTTGTCATGCAACTGTGAGTATTCACATAAGTGTGGGATTGTGTAGTTCCTTTTTGTGTGAAATGTGTTTCAGACTGTGCTACTTCTGCTATCTCCCACATAGTCTCTGTGACATGCCTGGCATTGCACGATGTAACACACATGCACATGAACACACCCACACACACACTACCCAAGAGCAACAGTGGGGAGTTCACTCTCACACAAACAGCTTTTCAGTGTCCCCCCATCTCAGCTACTGAAATTTCATAAAGAGGAACACTAGCAAGAACAGACCAGGGCCGGGAGCACTATTAACTGTGAGGCCCCTGAAAGAATAAAGCATTAATTCACTAATTACAATCAAAGCATGAGAGTACAATACAATAAACTGCATAGAGGGGGATGGTTTCCATTAAAACAAATGCGTTTCCTAATAATACATTACTATTGATTTATCATTGGTCCGTGCGCGTTTCACTGACAAATTTTTGTGATATTGATTTATGGTTGCTCCTACTTTCAAGTGTTCTTTTACGCATTAAATCAAATAAGATTTGTAGTGGCTTTATTTCACGAAAAGATTTTCATTTAGCTTTAAAGAGGCTTTAAAGAGGCTTATATGTAACTGTGCACATTGTTTTTAAAAGTCTCAAATGACCATACAATACAGATTGAGAGGTGTAGAGACAGAATGAGAGGTCAAACGTGATCGTAGCAGTCACAGTCACTGGGTCCATTCAATTTGCACGAGAGAGAAAGCGCACACGGCAGTACGGGCTGCTCTGGACTCAAATGCTTTGTCATTCCTCTGATTCTGCAGAGCCAGCATGTTATCTGAAGGCACACTTCGGAACTCTGCAATCTAACTTGGTTCATTGTTCTGTAATCGGTGTGAAAGAAAACAAAGAAAGCAAATAATGACAGCACAAAATCGTGTGTTTTTATGGGTGGCATCGCTGAGTGCACTGCCCTATCAGTATATTTTGTTTAATTGCACCCACACACGATAGCATCAGAAAGCAGTTGAAAGGACACATTGCTCAGTTACTCTAGGACTGTTTTTACTTCCTTTATTGAGCCAGTGGAATGATGTCTCCATCTAGTGGATAACATCAAGCAGACATCATTAAGTGGATGGTTTCTCTTTGTTTTTTAATGCATGAAACAGAACGTCATGACAAGTACTGAGTAATTAGTTCTTATTTTATATTTCCTCATGCCCTCTTCATACTCTTACGTCTTTTTACTGTTTATTTAAAGCTGAATTATTTCTATATTAGTCATTTCAGTCGAGTTTAAAAAAAAAAGAGTTCTTATGAAGATGAATCTCTACATGCAGGGTTTCAGGTGGGGAGCTCTTCGATCGGATCATAGAGAAGGGCTTCTACACAGAGAAGGATGCCAGCAAGCTCATTCAGCAGATTCTGGATGCTGTCAAATACCTCCATGACATGGGGATTGTGCACCGCGACCTGAAGGTCAGACAGGGCGATGCATCTGAAATGCCTGTCGCCATCTGACACATCGTAGGGTTGAATTTGACTGGGTTTGATTTTGTTCCTACGTGATAAAGATTTGTGGGTTATTTTTTAACAAAAGATTGACTTTGTTTTCTTCTAAGGCTGCCGTGTGTCGTCAAAATGCCTTTTTAAATGTCTGTATGCAAGTGCAATGCTATATCAGGCTTTCAGAAAAATGATGCTCCCGCACATGAATATTTGCATGCATTTAACATACCACACTTCATATGCTTATTTACAGTAAACAAGCCTTGCTCCAGTGCTAACTTTGTAATCCCATCTTCACAAATACATAATCCTTTAATGGAGATTAGTTCTGACCGTGCTTGTAGTTTAGAAAGAGATGTATTTTAGAGAGATCACGCGACTTCTCTCATGAGAATGATAATGCCTCTCACCCCACTGTTTTTTGTTCTGCCACTTCACCTTACAGCCAGAGAACCTGCTCTACTACAGCATGGAAGAGGACTCCAAAATCATGATCAGTGACTTTGGCCTGTCTAAGATCGAGGGCTCTGGCAGTGTAATGTCGACGGCCTGTGGAACACCTGGATATGTTGGTAAAATAACCTGATGCTGTCTTTAATTAGGCATTCACATAGACTGTAGTCAGCACAGTGCCACATTTATACACTGAAGGTTCATGAGAAACGTTTGAAAAAATAAACCATGCATTCTCTTGTTTTTTCTCCTTAAGCCCCAGAGGTTTTGGCTCAGAAACCTTACAGTAAGGCAGTGGATTGCTGGTCTATTGGTGTCATATCTTATATTCTGTAAGTCCATTGTGAATAGATTGAATCATGATTTGGATTATCATAGCAGCTTTTAATGACAGGATCCCTTTTTTTGCTAATAGTCTCACTTTTGTTCTGTAATTTAGATTGTGTGGATATCCTCCTTTCTATGACGAGAACGATGCAAAACTTTTTGAGCAGATCCTGAAGGCAGAGTATGAGTTTGATTCTCCTTATTGGGATGACATCTCTGAGTCAGGTAGGGTGCCAGTCAAGGTATTTTGTTCAGTCCAGCCATTAATCTTTTTAGATTTTAGGCTTTAGTAGAATACCATATCAATAGTGTAAATAACAAGACTTCTAGAATCAACACTTTAGAATGTTTTAAATCTTTTTTCTGGTACAGCTAAAGACTTCATAATGCATCTTATGGAGAAAGACCCCAACACACGTTATACCTGTGACCAGGCTCTGCAACATCCCTGGTATGTTTCACATGACTGTAAAGAAGATTCTGTTGTCTTAGTGCTGTAAAACTTAACCATTTCAACCTAAACTGTTAACTTTATACCTACCAAAATAACATATTCTATCATAGAATCTATGATTTCTATAATATCACGTTATCTTTTCCTGTCAAGAATGAATGGAGGACATTGACCCACTGTACACAGACACACTCCGAGAAATATTTTGTGTTTCTCTGTCAGGATTGCGGGCGATACTGCTTTAGACAAGAACATCCACGAGTCTGTCAGTGCTCAGATCAAGAAGAATTTTGCAAAGAGCAAGTGGAAGGTATGTGAGATGTGTACTTTTCAGGAAATGCTTAAGTTGTTTCGGATTTTTTTTGCATGCACTGTAGTTTCAGTGATCAGTGCACCCGGTCAGTGTGAATTCACTCACCCCCTAGCTTTTCCATTTTGACTTTGAGTGCTAAAAACCTTCCAGATTTGGTGTGATAACCAAACCAAAAACTAGCAGCTGGTCTACATGACATTGCATTGCTGGAATCTGTGGCTTTCTTTCCTCTGCAGCAAGCATTCAATGCCACCGCAGTGATTCGTCACATGAGGCGTCTGCAGCTCAGCACCGGGAGTGAAGGATCCAACCCTACTTTGCCAAGCCCCTGCCGAACTCACTTGCTAATGCCAGAGGAAGATGCAGGTACCCATCCATCCTTTACAGCAACTTTGTGTTTACTGAGATTGGCAATTATATACCCTGTTTTCTCCCTGCCAGACGCTTGCTGTGAAGGTGACTGCACCCAGAACGTTGATGGTGGAGCGGATCCTCTACCAAACCTCACCTACCGATGCCACCCAGCCAACAGTGTGTGATCCAAGATCCACACTGCGTACCCATCTTTCAGTCCTCAATAACTTTCCAATTTTACTCCCCCCAGTGAGTGCAGAGGCACTCTCGCCCTCTTATCTGGCTAGGGATACAGAGTCATTCCAACCTGTCGCCTGCAGGGGGAGCAAGCCTGTCGCGCCTGAGAGGGAACGAATAAAAAGGGTTGAAAAGGAGGTGGAGGGAGGCTTGATGTCATTGATAATGATGCGCCAGAGTGGATCATTTTGGGGATGGAAAGGCATACTAAGGAAAGAGGGAAAGACGACCTCACCCACCTTCATGTCAGGGGCGGGGGTCTTTTTTCTTGCACAAGCAGGACAGAGCTTGTTTGACATGGCTTGTTTGTTTTTATTCAACTTGTATTTTTTAATTCAACCAGTCCCTTTGTTTTGTATATTTTTGTGTTGTTATACTAGCCTCCTACATTCAGACTTCGGAGTGTAATGGCAGAAAAGTATCTGCATGACTACGAGAGAAGTTCCCATTGCATGCTTTATCTTAAGAATGCACTGTAATGCAGACACACAGCGTCACAGCACATCAGAACTATGAAGTGTTTGATATGGTTTAGGGAAAAGTGAGTCAAATCTTGTGATGTTAAAGATTTGCATTCCATCTTTAACTCATGCTTTTAGAATTTAGACAATCAGACAGAATAGTTTATTCAATGAAGACTCCATTCCCTTGTGCAACCTTTCTTGTGGCATTACATTGTTTTCATGAAGTGGTTAGATTTTTGGAGAGGAATTGTCTACTCTTCTCTCTTTTATTTCAGCCCCCAACCCTTTTTTTTGTATTGTTTAGTCAAAGGTGCCTTTATTATAAACAGCATGATGGAGTTATTGGTGATAGGTAGCTTCCTTCCTGTATTGTCCCATTTTGCATGTGTCACTTGTTAACTTCAATCACGGTTCTAAAGCCTATTTTCCTCTTCAAAGTGAATTATTGTAATTTCAAAGGGAATCCTGTGCAATGAAAAGTTAATTTGTGTTTTCCACGTTTGTTGAAAAAAATGACAGAGATGGCATCAGTATTTTAATGTGATACAGGAAACAATTATGTAAAAAAATGTATGAAGCGCAATTATTGAAATATAATGGTCAACATCCAAAAGCATCCCATAGGCAAGAGTAAGCTTAGTTATGTTTAATGAGTACAAATAAAAATAAGTATGCATCTGTTACCATGTACTGTACTGCAATACCTATTATGTTTTCCTGATATCACAGTTCCCTCTTTAAAGCATGTTTCCTTCACATGCAGCCTTTTTAAAAGTAAAATGTAACTGGATAATAGGCTGGGAATATGCAGCAGACTGACTCACTCCATCTCATTGTACACTCATTTTTATATGTGTGCGTCTTTTTTTCCATATCGCTCCCTTTAAAAACATGCATAGGCAATCATACATGGACGTCTGTCCTTTTTGGAAAAGGTCTTTCGGTGCAAATTTGAAAAATTGTGTTCATAATGTTTACCATCTTCTATTTTAACCATATAGAGCAGCTTTATGCAAATGTCTGAATCATCTGTGTCTGTTAGAGGGTCTCACCTTGGTGGCTCACTGCTCTGAGAAACAGTGAAAAATGAATTCATTTCATACGTCAAATGACGATTTTACGACTGCAGTGAGACTGGTGCTAAATTAGTTAAAGGTAATATTTAGTTAGATCTTTTACTCTTTAGCTAATTCATCATCCTGTCATGCAGGTGAATAGCAACAGAAGGTGTAAGAATCTTTCAGCAGGTGAAAGAAGCTTGGCTGTGCTGCTTTGGATTTTTAATCTTTACTGTACATTTTGTTGAGTTGTTGTTGGTATCTATCTTGATGGAAATGGTGACTCCAAACTATAAAGCACATTTAAAAGATGATTTTATTAAACTATTCTGTGTGAACTATTTATATCCTGAATTTCTGTGACAGAAAAAAGAAGCAGAGAAAAACTTAACGATCATTGTCAACAAATGTAATTTCAGATCTGATCTTTCACTTCGGACATGTCATTTATTTTATTTTAATGCTGGAAATGTTACTTTTTTGACTTTGGGAAATTTAAATGTCTTTAAAAAAAATACAATTTAAGATAGATGGTATGGTTTTAAAGTGAGCAAGATTTGTAATAACTGCATAAAAATAGCAACAAAAACGTTTTTTTTTCTTGTGTGGTTTTTTGCTGATGTAGCCAACTTCATACATTCCAAAGCTATGACCTGAGTGACACTGACATACATAACCATATTCCATTTCCTGATTCCTTAGCCAGATTAGCAATGTTTAAGGAGAAGAATTCTGACCTTGTTCTCAGGGGTGCAACAGTATTGCTGTTTGAGCTGATAACACATGTCCCTCTCATAGCCTTCACACTGCTTCAGTCAGAAGAAAAAAATGCATGCATATGAATGTTTTTCCTCTGATTGCAGTACATTAACCGCTTGTAGAGATTGATCAATATTGGGTAAAAATGTCTTGTACCAATGAATATTTGCAACATGTTGGTTTTGATAAATGCTGTCTGGGGCTACAGTAAATGCTGGATGAATTAATATAGTGCACCATTATCTATTGAAAACTGACTATCGCTTTGTGTGAAAGCCAGCAATTTTTAACACGTGCTCACTTGGCACCCATTTATCAGTGGCACAGACATAAAATTTTTGTCTATGCATCGGGAGGCTGTCTGAGGTCATTTATGAAATACACAAAATTTTGATGACACTTTTTGTATTTCTTGAAAACAATCTGTATATTAGATGTGCTAATCATTGAAGCTACTGCAGATTAATTGTTGATCTTATGACAGATTTGTGGCTTAAAAAGTTTGTTGTGAAGGTTAATAACATATTCAGCCGCATAAGCTTTTTCCTGTTCTCGCCAAAGAATGCGGGGTAATTAAGACTTGTGGTTTGGCTCCTGGAAAAGAACAGAGAGCACAGGAAATGTGGTGGTTGCCTTTTTTCAGGACACAGCCAACGGAATAAAAACAATCATGTGGTCAAGCCAGAAACAAGGGACCGGTTCAAAGTAATGGGATAGGATTGGAAGACAAAAAGTACTGAAACATGCAGTGTACATTTAGATGTGTAAGAGTGGGAAAATCTAAGAGGTTGCATGGGGAAGAGCACACCATTACAGCTGCATCCAGCATGGAACAGGAAAAAAGTGCACTCAAAAAACTGAAAATAGAAACATGTCCTCATACCAGAATTGTATTGATCTGACAAACAAAAGCAACACTGCAGTGATGAAGACTTTGCACGATCTTAATCATCTCCCAAGAATGTTCTGTTGCCCATGCCTGCATGGAATGCAAAACAGACGTGATGGAGCGCAGGGCCAAAACTGCAGCAGTGATGACAGACTCAGCCTCCTCACTTTCTTGTTGATTTATCTCTGTGGTTGTGGAAGTTCCAATCTCTGAGAAGCAGAAGGAAACAAATTGCTGATAGCAGGGTATCCAAAGATTTACCTCCCCCCAAAAAGAAATCCTCTTGAAGAGCCACGAAATTGCAAACGCGGTGTTTAAGTGAACCATCAAGAATGGAAGTGTTGAACCTTTAACCTTTTCAAACCTCTGGTAGAGACATCATACTGTATCCTGCTCCAAGGTGACCTGCTGTCTGTTTAAGCATTATGTTTCAGCCCAGTCTCAAATAAAGTCAAGTGACAGACAAACTACTAAAGTCTGAGCTTATATATGGCAGCTGAACAAATAAAATGTCCTTATAAACCTAAAGTATATCCAAGACTGCTTGTTTCACATTCATGTCTATCAGAGAGTTGAATTAAGAGTTAAAAAAAAAACACGTAGGTCTCGCATCTGTCAGCAGGAAACTATTGTGCTAATATCTGTCAGTACTCTCAGGAGGTTTTATGTGCCCATTACGTCCACGCTGTCCATCAACAGGCACTGTCATAGGTATGGACTTTTTACAAGTCATTCAAGACTTTCACTTTTTTCCCACTCATTTCTACTAATAAAAGTCTAATAAAAAGAGCCAGTGAATCGTTTCCTTCATGAGGTCTACACGTGAAATGGAAAACACTGTGGAGCATACAGACTGGAAAGAGAAACACATCTAGGAAAAAGATGGTGGGTTACAGACTAAATGACAAAAACAAAATGTATGCAACATTGCATGCACGTCATGTACAAATATGTTGTCCAATTGTTATGGTTTCTTTTTTCTTTGTGAGGCACACTGAGTTGAAATGTAATGAAGCGTGTAATGTAAAGCTGTTATTTTCAAGTTAGTCAGACTGGAGACCTGTCAGACATATACATTCTGAGACATTGCATTTGTTTTTAGCCAACAAAGTGGAATTTCACAGGATCAGGAAGATGTCAGTCTTGTTGCCTGAAAAAAAATCTTTAATAGCTAAATTTAAGAACAGTGAACAGAATAAAACTGGACAACATTAAACATGAATTTACCAGTGATAAGCAGATTCTATCAAATGGATGTATAACTTTAAGGTGGCCCTACAGAATATGAAAAAACCCAAAAGAATTACCCATTTCCATCTTAAGTTAATCACTTAAATTTCTTCTTCACATCTCACTTACACAATTGTTTTGGATGAAAGGTCAAATAACCCTAAGCATCTTTGCTAAATATTTGTCTTTGCCCCAAAGCAGGAAAAACAGACAGAGTTCATTAACATACAAATATTTCCCAGTTGTATTCCACGGCGGTGTGTCCCAGCTTTGATTGTACAAGTGAAACCAGGCTGGTTTAATTTGAACAAGTCACACTCCCAGGGGTTCTGGAGCAGAGGCTCAGCAGTGAGATCACCCTCCTCTTTATGCCCCAGAGTGCAGTGACGTGCAGTTTTCTGTGAATGAGTCACTTTTGCTCAGTTGAGTAGGGAAAGGCGATGTGAATATATGTTTTATCCAAAACAAACACTCATGGTTAACAGCTGATAAACCTGAAACTTAATTCTTAAACGTAAGCATAGGAGCATAGATCTGAACGGAATGCTGTAGGTTTGAGCTCTGAAGGCCTCGTCGAAGGCCCCTGAAGTTCTGCATGAGTGTGCAAACCACACTTGGTAATAATAAACAGGATGGGGAGTCAGATGAAAAATGAGAGATGGAGAGTTTCTGGCTGAATTTGGAGAACCACTCATTTTCCACTTTTGGAAAATTCAGCCTGCAATTAGGGTCCAGCATTGCCAGAAACTTAGCATTCATGTAAGTCACATTAGCAATACATCTGATACTGGCCCTGCGTCTAAGATGACAGAGATTGAAAAGAAAACAGGGAAAAACCTAAAGGAGCTGAAAGAATGGAAAAAGTACATCATCACGTATCTTTGTCCCTTCCGTACCTTTACAACATCCTATTTATACATCAATGAAGTATGAGACACAGTGGAATTATAAGGGCCCACACACACCCACGCACACTCAGGCTGCAGTGTACACAAACACTGTGCCAGGTGGAAATCCTGAGAGCTATTATTAAAGGGTAATTTATGATCAGATATCAAGTTCATGCTTGTTTTACAGGATAGGTTTGTACCAAGGTGTAAGGAGTGCAATTCATCCCATGTGCTGCAAATCAAATCAGTCCCAGCATGCCCACATTCTCATTGTGGACAAAGGCATTACTTTAGACAATATTCTCAGGACACTAGTTCAATTGTGGCATGTTATTATTGCTATTGTCATGACCAGGGTCAGAAATGACATGAATGTGCACTACCAGATCATTGGTAGTGCAGAAAAAAACCAACAGCGCTGTAGTTCTCTCTGAAAACCAGCGAGCCAAAGACCTCAAGAGTAAACCACGTCTGCTGAATAATCACTTATAATGCTGTAAACATCCGGGATGGAAAATATGGCAACATAAATCTAAAGTTCCCCAAGAGTAACCATTAGATATAAAAACAGATTGCCCGTGCTAACAACAAACACATGAGTCTGAGTTCCTTGTGCTTGCCTTATGGGCCTTGTCAGGAACCTAGACAAAGAAAGGAATAATTACAAGCTTAGGGTGGAGGGAGAGGGGGAGTCCACGTATGACAAGAGGAGGGAATGGAGGGAGAGAAATCAGTTGTTGGAGCAGGTCAGGCACATTTAGCCCTCAGTCACTAAGGAAAAAAAAGGTGATGGAAAAAGAGAAATATGCAACATCTCAGACCCATGTGTACATTGGAAACATTTTCCAGTCTGAAAAAGGTTGGTGCATTTTACTCTGTAGTCTGAAAAGAGAAATTGAAAAGATGATTGACCAAAGTGAGAATAAGAGGAAAACTAAATATTGGAGCCTGAGCTTGACCTTTCCATGTGTCAGAATTGGGTCAAACAATCTTATACGAGGTGTGGTGACAGTTCAGCTCCCTCTCCAGGCAGTATTTCACTGCTCTCTGGGACATAAAGAATGGGCTTACAGTTCAAAGCTGCAGCAGCAGCAGTGTCTGGGGGCAAACGCTTAAACTGAAACAAAAGAACCCAGACAGCAGAGAAGAATCACCTCTGCAAACCCTGTGAAAAGTAAAGAAAACGCAGGGGAAGCCTTTCCCTTACGGTCAGAAGTGCTAGGTGATGAACTGACGGATTGAAAGGCAAATCATTATTTAAAATGTATGAATATATGGACTTTATATGGGTACATTTTATAGCAAGGCAAGCCGGTGTTTCTTTTGTTATCTTTTCTTAGAGTGTAGCTGAATTGTGGATCCAATCAACATATTTTTAACAACTCCTTTAATCTTTCATGAAGCTACTAACGGTGGACACCACGGAGCAGTTCAAATGTTTCTGATGTATGAAATCAAATCCCTATTTATAGCTATGTATATAATCCAAGCACCACGCTTTTTGGATATTTGTTTCCATGTTAGGGACCAAATACATACTTAAAAATAAAAATAAATGTAAATGCCGCTGCTACTGTAAGAACCCTGTGATGGATGCTGAGGGATGTTTGTGGTTTCTGTCTGTAAGTGATAAATTAGCTGCTGCTTATGATTCGTTTGGCTCTGTCAGAAGTGCTGAGTTGTAGGTTGGTAATCGTGAAAGAAATACAGACGTGATCATCTGAATGCCTTAATGTTTCCTGAAATAAAACAGACAAAGCCCCTTTATTTCCTCCATACTTTTTCATTGTCATTGTATCATTTGTATTTAGTTCTGTAGTTGTGTAAGTAAAAATACACAGTGCCAACAACACTGTTATTACCTTCATACTAATAGAATACTGAAATATAGGACTGAATGTGCCAGTGCTTTGACAGAGACCATTTGAACTAAAATCAAGTGGAAATAATTCCACCACATTATGGATCGGACTCAGAATAAAAGTCAAAGCCCAATTGTGGGCTGTCACAGTGTTGCTAGCTTAGCTGTAAACTCTTTTTCCAGGATAAACGGACTTTTCTAAGTTATGGCATAGCAAAGCTCAGATACTGATGTTGGATAACATAACTAAAAGAGAGTAAAAGGTTAAGTGGAACTTATTGACATGTAAGAACTGAGAAGTTCAGAGAAAGACTAACCTATCAGATGGCTTGGAGACATCAATTGTAAAGAAAATTTCAAAAAAGGAATCTAGAGCAGCTGGAGAAAGTAACATCCTTGGAGGGCATAAAAAAGCCAGATAAACAAACCATGCCCACAGATAGCTAGGTCTTCTCCCAGGGACCACCTCTGTGAAGACACATTGTTTGACATCTGTTTTGCAGCTTGGCTACGCACAGTGGTTTATGTTGAGAAAGTGTGTGTATATCATCTTTGGCACAGCTCCATGTGATCCTGACAGTTGGCTGCAGGCAAGGCTGTCTGATGCAAAGCTTTCGAAGGGAGAAGAAAAGGGAGCCAAGAAAAAGGACGGGGAGCACTGCACAGTTTTCGGCCACACTTTTTTTTTCCTTAACACAGGACTTTGAACAATGCACAAGAAAAAAGAAATGCTTGTAAATTCCCACTTGTGTCCTGCTTTATTTCAAGAAAGCCCCAGTTATTAAACATGCTCGAAATCGGCTTCTTTTTTTTCCTTTTTAGTTTCTCTCCATAAAAAAACCCCCCAGCCTGTCACTCTCAGTTTAAACAATACCGACATATGGAAGAAATTTAGTTCATCTCTCCTGGAAAGTGTATTGAACATTTCATCCGCCAGAATGATTTGCATGTGAAACAGTCTTGTTTTCTTTCTGAAAGAGGGCTAGATCTAAATTGGACTACAGCTCAAGCAGAAAAGGTCAAAGTTGGGCTAATTTACTTTTATTATTAATGTTAACCTGACAATGCACCCTTTTTTTAAGGAAACTTCTGATTTATTAGCACCAAATCACACTAAACATTCTGTGCCTGCCAGATAACATTTATCATGCCTGACTTGAATACACGTGAAGCAAGAACCATTACAACAGAGGTCTGAAACTCTCGGCTGAATTGACAGTGCATTACATCTCTCTCAGTGGTCCCTTTGTTCCGCTCTTTGAAAAGACATATTTCCAGACACATTCATCTTAAAATATCAGTGTAGCAGATTTTGGAATATTAAATCATTCTCAGCTGTGGTGTGGACCAGAAACAGACATTACATTATAAAACCCTTCCCTATTGCTCAGTGAGCAGCTCTTCCACTCAGTGAGGGAAGAGCTCGTAATCTTATAAACATGAATGTGATCATATAGCAGTTTGATCGATGCAATGTTTGCTTCGTCAGCAGATATGTGCTGTGAACTGTTAAACTTATGGGGCCGTTATCAAAACAGACAGGCCATTAGTGTGTGAAATGTAATCAATTCTTACCATCATAAAATAAAACACTTAGAAAAAGTTAATTTATTGAGTAAATCATGGTAAATGATTATGCTATTGGCAAAGCAACACGTTTATAGTTTAGGAAATGCAGAATGATAACAAAAGCATGTACAGAGTGCATAAAAAGAGAACTGTTCTTTTCTGACACAGAAAAAGCCAATCCCGTAGCACACCAGCTTCTCTGGCTGGACACAATAGGTGCTCAGCACCTTATACTTAAACACAAAGACATTTTGATTGAGCTCAAATCACATAAAAAAAATGACAACTCTGAAAGTCTTGAGAGAAAAAGAATCCAAGCTTAATCTACCTCATGCAGTCACTTTGCAAATAGGTATTTTCTTTTTGCTAAAAAGAAAAAGTAGGCCATGTTTTGGTACTACGTTAAGAGCGTTTAAATTGCTGTTGCTGACTCTTTAAATGAATTAGTTAAAAGTCAGGAGAAGTTCCTCAAAGCCTAGGGCTGCAAAGGGTGGTATTAAAAACGGCATTATCTTAAAATATAGGAGACCTATTGCCCTTAAAAACACAAAATCTTTATTTTAACCTTCATCATAAAGCAAAGTGACATCCAAATGTTGTGTCCAGCACTTAAAAAAGAACAATAAATCAGAATAGATATTCCTACATTTAGGCAGAAGGATGATGTAATAACATATTCATATCCATCTTAATTTGAACTGAATCATTAGCTGCTGTTGCTTTTTTCTCACCTGACTTTGCTCTTTATCCTTTTATTTTGTTGCATCATTGGGAGAAAATGTTGGATTACACTAACAGATACAAAAAAAGAGTTAGTTTTTGAACTTCTTGGTCATGACCTTTCTGAGTGGCTGGCTCTTTTGGTCTTGTGTGGTGTCCTGATCAGGGTGAGTTTGGGGGGTCTTTGAATCGAAGAGCTGCTTGAGGCTGAGGATGTGTTGGTCTTTTGTTGTTTCCCGCTGGGCCTGGCGGAGCAGGCGCTTCAGTGTCTTTACCTTTTCCCTCAGGTGGCCATTGGCTTTCTCCAAGGTACGCACTTTCTGGGAGAGAGTCCTTACCCTCTCTTCCTCTTCAAACAGAGCTTTCTGCACAGTGGAGCACAGCAACTATGAGGAGAAAGAAAATAGTGTTTATTCCAGTTTGGAGCATGTTTAGAATATCAGAAAAGCATGAGATGTATTTGATTAAATTATTACAAGCCAAGCAATACAAACTTTAGACCAGGTGAGGAGACTTTTCTCCCAATTTTGTATCATAGAAGACAGTGCTTGGTTAAATTGGGAGGTGTCAGACATGCACAATGTCAGGCACCTCTTTTTGAAAATGCAGAGCAAATTTCTCCGATGCAATGCAAAATGTCTCTATGTGTCATGAACCTCCAAAAAAATAAATCCTTTCTGTTGGCAGTTTTTTTGGTGAAAAGGTTAAATTGAAGCTGAAGACTACATGAGTAAGTCAGCATTACTTGATCAAAAGTGACAGCTAGCACAGCACAATAAAATATCAAATCTACAATATTTGAAGTTTATAAAAAGTAACAACTTATAAAGAGTAATTTGGCTTAATTGTTGCAGATTGTGCTGCTACCATGGAGGATTTTTAGGTTCACTTATACATCTTTAATTTAGCACTGCTAATTCCAGCATAGCTGGTGGGTTAGGATAAAATGATTCTGCCTGGACCCAAAATAAATTAGTACCAAACAGTTATGATAGGAGCATAACCAATTTAAATAACCCAAAGACAAAACAAAAGTTTAGTTCAAAGTAATGACTAAGATCAAACTGAGGCATATTCTCTCGACTTCAGAAAGACACCGCTGTGAGATGAAACCCAACATTCCTGTGAACCTGTGACAGACAATCCAAAGGCCCAGACCTTTGCTGGGTAAAAAAAAAAAATTAATACCAGATGCCTCCGACTGGGTGCATTTGTGCCAGAGTGTAGATTTACTCGGCAGGCTTTAATGCTTCCACACGGGCTCAAGGGGAAACTGATGTAAACTCCCTGCCATCAGATAAAAGCCACTGAGGGTTTGGAGGAAATGTTAAAAATATGCTGCTGACCAAAATCATTGGTTTGTAAGTTACTTGTTGTAGCATTAACTGTGATTTTTTGCCATGTGCTCTTTCTTATGTCCCAGAGAGACCTGGGTAGAAGTATGAAAGATCAAATGCAATTACTTAAATTTGAAAACTGAACATAAGATTTTTTAAGAGCAACTGTGCTATCACAAAAAACTTTCTCATAAGCAGTAATACATTTAGAAGTAAAACAGCCCTCGGAATCCAATCAGACTCCAGCGTATCTGGCACATTTTATAAGGAGACTGAAATTAAGATATCGGAGATCATATGAAACGAAAACTGATTCTGTGTTTAATATATACTTTCAAAGTCACCTATAACTTTCTTTTGGAACCTGTTGGATCAGCTTTACACTGAAGATGTCTGTGTGTGTTGTGTGAGACATGTAGTCATGTTCTTCAGCATATCTGCCTCACAGCGAGGCCTTTTGTACAAAAAATATACAATTCTATGTAATTTGTGGATAATGAAAAAGGAAAAAGTGAAAATGTCCAATTTTCACAGCTATAACTCAAGATACTACTCAGATAACTCAGATACTTAACAAGTATCTGTTCTCTGATGTTTTAGAGGAGGGACGTTTGAAGCCTTCCAGAGCTAAAACCGACAAGTATCTGTGAGATTCTACTTAATGCAGCAATATTTATTACGTGGGTGGTGCTTTAAATAACATCAGACCATCTTGTTGGAAGAGAATACAGTATACTGTAGCTATGGAGAGCTGATATTTTTGTAGAAACATAAAATCCTGACAGTTAAAATGCTGTTGATACTGACAAAGTCTGTTGTTTCTTCATAAGATGACTTCATGCTCTTTGATTTACTTTGGTTTCCCCCGGATTGTATGATGTTTGTGTTAAGATCTTAGATTATATGAGGTCAGATCAGTTGTTCGGAACCTGTAAAAACAAAGTCTGATTTATATTACTGAAGAGGATATTCCATCTCAGGGGGAGATGTAACGCGGCGGCACTGGATCAAATCTGGTAATTATAATCACACGCTTGACCCCAGAGTTTTCTGGTAATTCAGAGAAAAACAAAACAGATAGATTTTCTCATTTTGTTCAACCACAGCAATATCTTGTTTTCTTGAGAAAAGGGCTGAGCCAAGTCAGACACATTAATGGGTACAAATCAGTGGTGAGTCTTCGGAATGCATCCATGTAATGACACAGCTGCTCTGAGAAAAGCCAGGAGTGCTTCTGGTGTCAAAGAGCACCAGATGTGTACCATTCGTGTTTACACGTGAATGATATTTAACCAATAAAATGATGACAGCTGAGCAACGGAGCAGAGGCTGAGCTTATTGATACAGGTCCTCTTAAAATCTAGCCGGCCTCAGAGTTCCATCTAGTAGCAGCGACCTTTAGATGCACTTACACTGCTGCATACTTATGTGTTGTTATGAAATGTTTTACTTTTTTGTGAATAAGAGTCATAATCTTTTTAAAAATGTTTAATCTAGTCACTTTCCAGGGCTTTGATTTAGCTAGTGGTGCGGCCAGTAACCATTTAAAAATGTTCTTTTCCCCTTTTTTCCCTTATACATTGAAAGTTCTTTGTCTGGCCAAACCTCAGGAAATGTGCTTTTGGTTTATTTGTGCATTATGACCGTACTGACTTGCCAGTTTCTTTGCGAGAGGGCTTTGAGAAAAAAAACAGGGTGCAATACTGAATCTTTTTACTTTCTAATCTACAGTAATTTTGGCTCTTTTCTCCTGCATCTGAAGTCACCATGAAGCTATTAAGTTTCACCAACTGTCTGACACAGAGAGTTTAAAACGAATGAAGGATTTTTTTCCAACACCAGGTCTAAGCTGGTTGTTGGAGTGGCCACGCACCCGGCTGTCCTCCTGAGCCTCCCACTCTGGGCTAAAGCTGTGGACTGGAGTTTCAGGTGTGCAGTTAGAAAACTGGAAAAGGCTCGCAAACGTGCGATGGTTCTCTGGGGTGTCAAGGAAGATGGCGTCCTGGAAGTTCACTCCGTGTGGGACAATATTATAGTTCTCATCCATTCTGTGTAGTAGAAAGAGGACAGAAGTTAGTCATGAGCAAAGGGCAAAATGTCAAATTTCAATAGAAAAAAAGCATGTCTTATAAACCAACAAAGAAACAAAGACTGAAAAGCCAGCTGACCCTCTAAAAAAACGATTTAAAAAATCTCTGTTTCGCTGAGCTTTGGGAGAGTTAGCCTAAACACATACCAGAAACTATGGCATACGTTTCGAGACATATAACAAGTTTCACATGAAATGGGGGTGAAAGTATGCAAATTGCTGGCAGACTTTGATCTATTTTTATGCCAACTAAAACATCATGTGGATGACTCAAACTAACAAATTACAAGCCAAAGGGATTCATAGTGTGTTTTATATCTTCAGGAAGGCTTGTGGCACACATCTGGATTCCATCTCATACGACTCCAGGGACATCTGAAGCCTGGCTGTCCCTGCTAAAGGGTTATGAGTGTTGTATGCCTATATGTGTGTCTATCAAATGCAAGAAGAGAGCTGTGGTTCTGTTTCAACAGAAAATGTCAAAGGTAAGATGTTAGAGTAACTAGGAAGTTCAAGGCCTTTAGGATCCATGGAAACATGTAAAGGCTCTACAGTGGAAGAAAAATAACCGACATATTTGGTATGCAAGTTTCCCCTTGCTTCTAAAACCTGCTTATGAATGAAAATGATTGCATATGTTTTATCTCTTTTAAGCTTCTGCAGTGCCTGCATTGTATTTGACAAAGAAATTAAAAACTCTTGAAGGAGCGTAACATAAGCTTACGTTTTTACAGCAAACACATGGCCGAAGCAGGACACTCTATCTGTCTTATTTAAAGGTCCTGAGGGACATCCTTGGATGCGTTTTCAGCTCTGATTCATACTGTGCAGGGAGATTGAGCTTGTGATTGATTGGAAAGACTATTTTAGTCTGAGGAGATGTTTTGGGAGTGTTTATAACAGGAAATATGTCTCATCTGGAGACCGCAATGAGAACTTCTCAGTTTTGACAAGAGCTCCTGGGGCCTGGTGTTGCTTAGCAGCCACAACAGCTTAGAACATTTCGGTTATAGGTTCATGTGAGGAGCCTGCAGAAAGCTGCAGAGCAAAACATGCAAACGCAACTTGTTGAGCTGTCTCCAACTATAGTTGTTACATTTATTACAGGTAAGAAGTTATTGTCACAATGTTCTGTCTTAAATCTCACAAAATATTGAACATCAACAACTTGTGACTCCATCAACACATTTTAAAAAAAATTCCCACAGCTGATTGTGTTAAGTTTGAATTAGTGGTCTAACACAATTGTGTGCCTTTATTCTTCAGCTCAATATCTAAAGGACAGACAGCAGATCTTTGCACTGTGATATTAGGAAGCATATGTTCAAGTGTTTGGTTTCCACATCTGACTTTTTGACATTCCAATTATGGAGATGTGATACAATTTATGGAATTCAGACACAGCATGATATGGCAGAAGCCTCATTTAGAAGGAATAGGAAACAGATTGATTATTCAAACAGGACACAGAGGCAAGCTTCAAAACTCTGAACTACCATTTCCAACCAATTTCCATCACCTCCTTCAAATCTCACTGAAAAGTAAACGAGGTTTACAATATAACACAAAATGTTAATGAAACGTTTTTATTTCTGAGACCTGATTGTACTTTGACTCACTACTCCTGCCTACAGTAAAAGATCAACCATCATGATGGAAAATGTGTTGAACAATTCAGTACATGATTGAAGTAAGGTGGACGTCGTTCACCTCAAAAAGAAGTAGTAGTTGTTGTTTTTGGTGACGCTGTAGGAGAAACACGGCAGGTAACCCAGCCCGCTGACGTTGAACCTGGAGCCGGCTGGGACCTCCAGCATGCTGCCCCACGCCTGGTCGCACAGCAGCTCGATCTCTGCCGAGAACAGCAGGTCGGAGTCGTGCTGCCAGGGCAGGTAGTTGTACACGCTGTACGACTCCTTGTGCAGTGCCAACACCTTGGCAAAGACTATGATCTCCGCCAGCTCCGCGCGGCACGCTTCTGTCTGCGGTCTCCAGTCGTGGGGCAGCTGACACCCCCGGACCCCCCCGGGACCCAGGGCTGCTGCCAGGATCAGTGCCAAAGTAATCCACATGCCGCGACGCAAAAGAGACGTCTGTGTGGGTCGGTCCGGCGCACCAAGGCGCGCACTGATGGTGATGGAAGAAATTCCAGAAAAAAGAAATAACTTGAAAAAAGGCAAGGTTTGTGAGTGTCACTTGTGCAGATCCTTCGAGTAAATCAATTTAAGGAGTTTTTAAGGAACAAAATAGACACCACTGGTCAGTTTTTCTAGAATCCTGTCACTTTGTGCTGCCACTGTCCCGGGCTGGATCATTCTGATCTCTCCAGCATCATCTGCAAAGGATAACCCCCCCCCCCCCCACACCCACACACCCCAAAAGAACCACAAACCTGAGAGTGTGCATTATGGTATGCACGTGAAGTTTCTGCAGCTTCCTAAAAAAAGCCACAGTAAAAGGATATAATTCGATATTGTGAGTTTGTTAAATGTTTATCACTGTAAATAAACAAATAATCTGAAAGGTCTCAACCCAAAGTAAAAAAACACCACCGGCGCCCTCTGACGACTAAACCTATGAACACAGCAGCCAGCACTCGTTTAATCCAGACCTTTCTTATTTCACTGCTGGGAAAAGTAGACATCAATATAATATTTAGAAAATATGTGGCAAACGGCCACTGGACCAGTTTGATTCGTGTTAATCTCTGAGAGAAAATCATTAGGGTGTTTCTAAAAAGTCTAATATCAATAGTTTTTAATAAATCAACAAAATTATGAGTTATGTCGACACCTTAAGCATGAAGCGAAACATATGTAAGAGCCATTGAATAAAGAAATAGACATATGAATGATCAATAATATGAGACCTTAATTATGGTAAACTTCATTATCAATAGGCATAAAGTAAATATATGTGTAATTCAAAACCTGCTGTTTGCATCTCATATTTTCTTTAAAAGTGGTGGTGAGTATGTCTGATCTTTCATGTTTTATGTTATCCTGCCTTTTTGGCACCACCCTAAATTTAGGAATCGCATGAGCAATGGTTGACCAAATTCAAAATAGAAAAATGAATAAAAAAACAGATACATTTATGGAAAATGATTAACTCTCTGCAGATAAGTCAGGCTTTTTCTCAAATTCATTAAAAGTATAATTCATAACAATGCAAATAAAGTCAAAGCAGTCTTATTTCATTTTAAAATGAAGAAATACTGTATTGAAAGATTTGAAAGCCACAAGGAGGAGTAGAGCTAAAGTCATGGGAAACAATTAATCAGAGGAATGCAAGCAGTGCTGAGTGGTGAAAGAGAGAATGCCCACATTGCCAGACATCCTGATAAGAAGTGTTGCTTAAGATGTCCTGACGGTGTGGGTGGATGTTGAACAGAGCTGACTGGCATAGATGGGTAAGTCTGTTGCCTGTTAAGCACAGGGAAACACATAGCAGGTACAGCCAACCTCACAAAGAACATTGTGACTCATGGAAATGTGTGACAATAACTGCAGGAAAAGCTGAAGCTGAAAAGCTGAAGCTGAACTTTGAATGAACAGCTGAATGCAGGATTTAAAAAAATAGCCTTATGTATGTGGATGATGAGGAATGACAGTACTGACAAACTGGTTGGTTGACAGTGTTGATTTAAACACAGAGTAACTGAAAATAGTAACTACTCAGTCATTACTGATTACTCCAGCTTTGATGATTTTGTGCTAACTTGTGCAAAGCTGAGAATCGTCATAAGAATGCTGATTCAGCAATTTCACCACTTTTTTCCCTGTTTCTTTGCATGATATCTCATTCTGTTATCTTTTTTGTATTTTGGTATTTAACTAACTTTAATTTCTTTTTCAGTTTAGATTTGTAAATAAATGAAAATGTATTTTCATTCTCAAAGGTATTGTCAGTTTCAAATTTGATACTGTTTACTTTTGTTCAGTTTCAAATAGTTCTGTGAGTTTTAGTTTTTCTCCCCTCAAACATTTTTTCACTCAGATTTTTTCATTTCTTATTTCGTTTCAGTTTAAAAATGTCTACTTTGATGTTCTTCAGGGAAGTTATTCTAAATTGTTATAGGTGATACACACTCTTTACCAGCAACGTGTGTTTGAGAATTTTTGTTGAACATTTTTTTGTTTTCTATTGTGCAACATTCTGTCCTTGGGCCTATAACATAAAACAGGGTTATTTGAATGTAAGAAATAATGGACTGCAAAAATATGTAGAAGTTGTTATATTTTCACTCTTTCTGTGTTTATTCTCTTACAAACAAGCATATTTAAAAAAAATAGATATCTCTTAAATAATATTATGATAAAAATATGTTTTTTCGTTGTGCTAATAACAAAACAAAACTAAATGCTATTAGCGGGTGAACAGACCGAAGGTGACGTTCTTCATAGGGGCGTAACTTGACGAAGCGAACAGTGTACTCGTTGGGAAGACGGCGAAGAAGAAGACCAAGGAGAATAAGAAACTGTTTCTGGTCACGTGACTGAGAAGAGCATCTTCTTTGGTCAATTTGGGATGATAGCAAGAGTGCCGTTCCATCCATGAAAATGACCAAACTACAATTTCTTAACGTGTTTTTGACCGAGCGTCTCATGCTTGCTGCGCAGGAGATCTACAAATCAGTGGAAGATACGATTTTAGAGTACCAGGAGGAGATAGCGATCAGGGAGCGGGAGAACGACCATCTGAGACGCAGACTCCGAGAAGCTGGAATTGAAATATGGCCAGGTTAGCTCCCCCTGAAAGCTAACGGTGTAGTTATTTAGCTCTATTGACATTTTAGCAGACTTGCGATGTGGCACCATTTACCAGAATTAATCTTATGGTTGGAGGACAAATGCAATAACTTATTTAATGACTACAGAATATTTAGCCGGACTTATCGGCAAGTTTAACTGTGGCCACTCGCATGCTAGTTGACATTAGCTGCTGTTATTGTGAGGCGGCTAATATGTTAGCGACCTTTGTTCGTTAGCCAGCCAAGTAGCCGTGTAGCCCACGTCTGAGTTAGCACTTGCTTATGATTGGTCCAGACATGACTTAGTATTTTTGAATTATATTGATTCAGTCGTGCACATGAGCCTTTTAATTGCACCGATGCATAACTCCTCCGGAAGAGACATACCCTTGAAATAATAGCTAAAGAAGGCCAGTGTTGTGTAAACAGTAAATTCTTATTTATTAATTTACACCCCATAAACCTATGCCCACGGGTGAAGCATGGCATGGGATTTATGTTGTTTATGTCAATACTTTTTTGGAAACTTTCCCAATTATAGCCTTTATTTCTATAAGTGATGTAAAAAATAGATTAATCATTCTTGGATGATAATCCAGTAACAATAAATCAGCAATATGCTCAAACCTTTCTTCCTGCATATCATCGCCTTTCTCTTTGCAGTCTAACTATACAGAACATCATTTTCACCATTTAACAGATGGGTTCTAGACTTTTAGTTATTTGAGGACTTAAATACTTCTGTTGTAGCCACAGTCATTGCTTCTTCCTATTGCCTCAATGACTGTTCAGATCATGCTCAGACCATTTCAACCTCACCTAGCAAAACAATCCAGCATTCTATGCAGTTTTTTATGCTGTATACATCATTAACAACAATGGTTATTTTTTCTGTTTCATGTACCGGTAAGTGAACCATGTGTTTTTCCGTGGAAAGACTGAAGGGACGCTAAAGGGAACTATGCCAGATGTTTAGCGGTACCTTCATAGTCGTGTAACTTCACTTACTCTCTTGTTACTCTCGTCCCAGATCGGCCGTCCATGGCACTGTTGGAAGAGGAGGACGGCGAGCATCCACGTCGCGAGTGGAGTCCAAGTATGGGACACGAGGAGCGCATTCCTATTCAAATCAAGGACAAAAGAGATCTGAGCGCCCCTCAGGGCGATGACCAGCTTCGGGCCCATGGCTCTTGTGGGACACCGGAGAATATGTTCCCTCCTCAACGTGTTGCAAATGAATATCCCCCCCAGGATGGGCCCCACACGTCCAGCCTCCCTCAGAGTCAGGGTGTTGAGAACAGGGATAGGGATCCTGGATCTCGCGGCCCCTCAAGGCACGTGAAGGCAGAGAGCGGAGCTGGCCACCGAGGCTCCACCTCATCCAACAGTGGTGCCCAGCCTCTTGCACCGGTCAACCCAAACTGCTCGAATGAGAACAATATTGACATCATTGGGGTGGAGAATGTTGGACAGATGGTTGGTGGAAAGGGAGCTGTTAGTGGTGCTAACAGGGGACAGGCGTCTTTAATGCGGAGCCAAGGAGCCAATGCTGTGGACTGCCCGCATCAGAAATCCCCCCTGCAAGGTCACATGTCGTCTTTCTGCTGCAAGGTTTGCGGTGAGGCCTTCAGTCACATCGGCCATTTGCATGTGCATGTCCAGGTGCACACTCGAGAGAAACCCTACCGCTGTGGAGTTTGTGGAAAATGCTGCAGCTCCTCCGGTAGACTTCAGGAGCACCAGCGGAGCCACACAGGTGAAAAGCCATTCCGCTGCCAGATCTGTGGGAAGGGATTCACACAGATGGCTCACCTGAAGGTTCACATGAGGATCCACACAGGGGAGAAGCCCTACAGCTGCCCCGTGTGTGGCAAGTGCTTCAGCCGCTCTGACAAAATCAAAAGGCATCTTCAGACCCACAGCCGTGAAGGAACATATTTCTCAGGTCAATGATGCAAGTGTGTTGTTCAGCTACCCAGTCTGTGAATAATATTGATGTGGAAACTCTTTAAAGCTGAATTTGCTGCCAACGACAAGGTTTTCTTCCTTCTTCCCAAGAACTAGAAATTCCGCAACTCTTTAAGTAACTTAAAAAAAAAATCTAATCTAATACTTCTCAGTTCCTCAGTAGATTTTGTAATAGCCAGTTTAGTATGTCATTTACTAAATTTTTGTATTTGTCACTGAGTATGAAATCTCTAGGACACAACTTGAGTTCTTAGCTAGCCTTTCTGAATGATGTAGTGTTTTTGTAGTCCAAAAATTAGCATGAAGTCTTCCACACAGGCCTTGTAACAAAGATTTATCAAGAAATGCAAGAACGTTTTAGCACATTGAGTTTACCGGGGGCCAGTCACTTTATACCATTACGTTAAGCTCAAGAGCTGCAGACTCTACATTAAACCTCAGTTCTTATGTTGAGTTCTACTCTTAAGAATCACTGTATGTATGGTCATCTTTATTTTCTCCCCTAAGTAGAATATTGTCAACTTGGTACACAATGCCTATGTGTTATCTGGCTTACTCCAACACTGCCTTTTACTCAGAAGAAGCCTATCTAAGGACTGTACCACAAAGCTAGATTAATGGGTTGGAGAGCAATGCTGTGCAGAAAGCCTTTTGTCATCGGGGTTCTCTTTTAACCTGGCCAGTTCACCACGGTAACTCAGTCTAAATGCAAAACCTGCATTACAGAAAGTTACAACATGGCTGTAAATAGTGTTGTCACACCTAGCAAGTTTACATGGAATGAGAAAAAAAGTTAAAACCTGGCATGTCTTAAAAGAACTGAATGAATTCCAACTTCTCAAAACTGAGCAACTCCATCCAAAAAGAGCACGGAGGAGTGTCGTCCTTTATGAACTCAACAAAACTGTGATGGCTCTATTTTAGTGCGGGGAAGTGAGACCAAAATTCTACATCACAGCTTTTGTCAAGCACCTGCTTATTAATTAGTTTTTTTAACGCACAGCTAGCTGTGAGACACATTTCCTTTAAAAACATTTTTTTTAAAAGAATGGCTTTATATTGGCTAAAGATATCTCTCTGCTGCCTTCGGCTGCTAACTTCAGCTGGATAGAATCTGATTTGCGGTAAATATTTGTTCACAATAAAAGAGAAAAAACTCGGGACGACTGACAGACCTTTTTCTATTTTCCAGTCAGTTCTCTTGTGTCATATTTAACTTTAATGTCTGCACAGCAGCATTTTCAGAGGTCTTTTTGTCCATTTTCACAACTTACCACCTCCAGCAGTGAAAAAAAGGCTCCCCCTTAAAGCACTATGCTCTGTTCCCAACATTACTTAGTCGGTTTTAACCGGTGCATAGAAAATGGATGAGACTTATCTCTCACTATGCTCTAACAAAACCATATTTTGCCACCTTAAGAGTTACTTAAAGACAGTGTTCGTGCAGTGAGTTAAGCTCTCATTACAGTAACTCCTACAGAGAAAGTTAGACACAGTGGAATGTTTTCTCACACCGTCCTCAGCACTCCAGTGTCAGGCAGACTTCAGTCTGTGTTCCTCTTTCCAGCATTGCAAACCATGGCCACAATCAGACTGAGGCTGACTCTTCTTTAATCATGATGTCCCACACAGCAGAACCCAGGTCAGCAGCATTGTCGGTGTGGTGGGGATGAAGTTTTGGAATTTAGAAATGTGCTGAAAGCATTTTTGTAATACCATGAATGCTGAAAGGAATGTAGTTGTGATCATCGGCCTTGTTCAGCATTTAATCCAACATGGATTTTCAACCTGAACCAATAATTAGCCCCCCGAGACTATAAATCAGTGTTCAGGGAAAACCGAATGAAGTGGTTTGAAGGTTTGAAGAAGCTTTCGGTGGAATTGGGCTGGTGCCCTGAGCGGATACCCTAAAGCTCTTCATTTAGTCCTAACTTGTCTGTTTTTCAGTGGTAAGAGACCATCTGACATGTCCCAGTCTAGAAAAGTTAAAATGATCAAAGGCTAAACCACACTTTTATCTTGTGAAGGTTTCAGAGCTAAACGCGCCTTCAGTTTATGATACAACAATTTTAAGAGGTTTGCGAGCAGTTCTCTTATAAACGGTAGGCACTGATGGTACATCTATTCACAAATAAGCGTAAGCTTTCCCTTCTGTCCTCATTTATAGCAATAGTGCGACATCATTCCCCCTTTTTCATAGCTTTCCATAAAAAAAGAGACTGTGGCTCAGAAAGAATAAATACAAGGTTAATCTCAATATTCTAGGCAAAACAAATAAAAATCTATTATTTGTGTCTGTTATGTCTTAGTAGAATCTAATTTTCTGGTCAAGCCAGCTAACTTAAGCAATTGTTTTCAAATTTAGTTTGACCTGAATCTGCCGTGGTCACATTTGCAGGTGGTCAGGAGTCCTCGTCATATCTAGTTTTCCTCCTCTGTGCTGTTAGAATGACGCAGAGCAAAACACTGCCGCCTCACATCAACAGGGTTGTTCACTAAACAACAAACAAGCGTGTTCCGCACCGCTGTTTGGTGAGATGTGAATAACTGTAGAAGGCCTCAGCTCTTTACCTCCCACATGGTGGCTTTTGTAGTACATGGAATTCACAAAGGCATCTGCCCAGGAAGTTGCAGAGGTTAACTTTAGAACCGGCCACACAGTGTCAGGTGTCTGTGGGTTTTACATGCGTGTGCTTGCGGTTCCACAGTTTGAATCATTTACATGCGTGGAGTTTTTGGAAATGAGCTCTCTCTCGTCTCATTTCCGACTGATCAGTCGTACAGTTTCCTTTTTTTTCTCAGGTGCTGCATTCATAACACGAGGTCTGGTTCTTATAAATGTCAGAAACTCAGGGTTTTCCAGCGTTGATTGGCTCTGGATGGGTGCAGAAATAAACTAAAGAAAACATATCCGTATCTGAGTATCCTGCATAAAGTAGAATTTTGCAAAGCACAATGAAGCTCCTGTACCTTCAGTCATTGCTTCCGTTATCTCTCCACACATGTCGAATGCAGCATGACACAATTCCAAATCTTCTCAGCTGACCAGCAGCCCATCACCACCAGTCTTCAAAGGGGATGTCTTTAGCTACATTACACAAGCTCTACTGTACAGTGTTGTTTCACTGATGATTAAATGTTATTTTTTAATAAAGTTGTAACCAAATATCTGTTGTATACGTCTTTCCTCATGCATTTTTATGCAGTTTTGGCTCTCGTTGAAAGGAATTAAGAGTGAGTGTAGATGGTTGTGTGTCTCATTCATCTCTTAGTGGTCCTGTGATGGGTTGGCATCTTGTCTAGGTCGGACCCTGTCTTTTGCCCACTGACAAAATGAGAAGCCCTGAAATATTTAAAAAAAGCATCTGTGTGGCTTATCTCAGTGATTTTGAGTTGTGTTCCAAATCCAATCATTGATATCACTGATAGCAGATTCAAATCATGAGAAAACTGTTGCACCCACAGGCTCCACGCGTATTGCTGCTTATTTTTTGGACCAGTATTTGTACCAACAGCCATGGTTTTCAATTTTTGTAAAATTGTTCTAAGTTACAGAAAGCAGGTAACTTAAGTTAGATGGCCACGTGTAGAGACACAGAAAAAAGAGAAATAGTCTATTTCATCTTATTACAGCTTATAACAGCTAGGCACTATGATAATAAGCAATATTTCACAGATGATTGGTTTTTAATGGGGGAGCAACTGAGTGTGTAGTAACCGATTCTCTACACTTGGAGGGGCACTTTCCATTTAGGACATTGAGACTAAAACACAAGAGGTGCATGTGGCAGGGTGGCATTCTGTGGATTAATGCTAAACAAAAAAAAGAATAAAATGGGATCTACCTACATTTATGTACTGACAGTAAATGCAGCGATGCACAGTGAAACTTGGAACATTCGTCTACCGGCACAGCAGCTTTACAATGGGAATCATGATAGGAGAGCAGAGGACACAAACCTGGAACAAGGTTTATGCAGTGATTAACTGCACAATTAATTTAGCATTTTTCAGACATGCTGTAGTTTATCAATGTCAACAAAACAAGGATGGGTACCAAATATTGAAATTACTGCGAAAATCAAAGATCCCTTCCACAGAAACTCAAGTGTGCATGCAATACGGTGATCTGCAGTTCCCCCTCCACATTCCTGGCAGCTCTGGCAGGAATGTGTTTATGTTATTAGTTTATGTGTTGTCATAATCTTCGATAACCCAAAAAAGACTGAGATTAAAAAAATAAAATAACTACAGTGTTTGCAACAATTGAAACAGACATTTTGAATTGGCATGATTTAGTATTCAGTATGACTTTACAGTGTCTTTCCAGTCTACTTGAATACAAAATGTACCATAAGCTACATCCTTTTCATGCATTTTATAATGCACTGTTTAATAGGACATGAAAAGGAATGTTTTTTTTTCCTCTTACACATGGACTGTTACACTTTAAATGGAGCCTACATGGTATTCAGTTTCTTGCCAAAGGACATTTCAACTTGTGATTCATTGGAAATCAAGATTCAGACCACCAGCCATCTTTCCTCCTAAGCTACAACCCCCTTGGTAGAACATCTTGAACCAAATGTCTGTGGATATACTGAACCTACAAGTCAATGAAAAGTCAATAAAAGGCAATAGGAGCTCTGCTGGACATCATTCTAGAAATCACATTTCATCTTCAGTTGCCATGACTGTCAAGGTCTGATCCATCAAATTGTTCTTGATATCTAAAAACAGCAGGGTCTATCAATACTATATGAACTATTCAGGGTTTTTGAAAATGACAGCTGGTGATACACTTAATAAAGGGAGTTAAACATTTTAACCTTTTAATACAAAGTATTTTCCCACAAAGATGTTTCACAACATACCCAGAATAAATGTGGGCAAACTAAATTGAGTAGCTTATGGCAATCATGTTCAGCTAAAGACAAATGCTTAAATTTGCAAGTGCGGGCTTCAGTTATTATCAGAATTGCTCTTTATGATGGAAGTGCACCTTGTACTTTTTTTCTTTTTTTAAAACATCAGGTTGTGTTAAAAGCTTGCATACCTCTTGTGAACCAAAATCTTTGGAAGGCCATGCTGATACATACCTTGATGGAGAAAAAAAAACTTGATCAAAATGTATAAAACGGGTTCTTGAAAAACATTTTATTTTAAAAGCATCCAAAGGCATGATGCATTTTAGAGGCTGCTGTGGTGTGTTGATGAAATGCTGGACACAATGCTTAGCTTCTTTGTTCCTTATAAACAAATGTCATGTATGTTCCCTCTGTTAAGATATGTTGATGAAAATTGGTCCCTGGAAAGGTTCAGTACAGTCAAATACACAAAAAAAACTAGGACGCACATTAACTATCATGCTGGCAACAGATATAGTTAATGATGCTTGCTATGTTTTGAGGGATTTTCTAAACATTAAACGGAAAACATCATCTGCTATGAGCTCAGATGTTGAAGGAAGACATGCATTGTTACTAGAAATTCATAT